ATGGAAACAATAAATACTTATATATTAATCAATATTTATCGAAAAATTATTTATTAATAATTATTTTATTAACAATTATTAATTTTTAACCGTAATGAACTATAACGAACACAACGCGTATATCACTGCGCGTGCTAACTTGCCAAGACACTGCTGTGTCTTCTGATTCTAGTCTAGTATTTTCCGGTTTAGTACTTTTCCGAGATTCCGTTTTCCGAAATCCGACTGTCATGGGACAGCACCCTGAGAATTTAAACGCGGCAGATCGCGGATCACATCAGTGTTATTAGATGGGACGGATTTCTGACGCATGCGCGTCCAATGTAGCTTCAGTAACGTACCGGTCACTAATAAATAGGAGACCATTAGTCGCCTATGTAAAATTTTTTCAAAAATGTTGAAAATTTTAATATATTTTACGTATTTTACATATGTATACATACATATAAATATATTTCTATATATGTTTACATATGTAAAATATATAAAATATATTAAAATTTTCAACATTTTAAAAAAACTTTTTCCTTGGCGACTAATGGTCTCCTATTTATTAGTAACCGGTACGTTACTGAAGCTACATTGGACGCGCATGCGTCAGAAATTCGTCCCGTCCTTAGAACATATATAAATGAAAGGGGCATAGGGCGCTGAACGTGAAGCCACATCTGTGCGAGAGAGAAAGGTAGTAAGGGATAAATGTTCGCAATGCGCATGCGCAGCACCGTCATCTGTGTGAATTGTGCAATTGGTTTAGTGTTTTTACACATTCGTACATTACACAGATGTGTAAAACGTGATGCTGCGCATGCGCATTGGGAACATTTATCCCTTACTACCTTTCTCTTTCGCACAAACGTTTGCATCAGCGCGAGCCATAGGAAGTATAGGCGATGCCCGTTCCATTTATATATGTTCTAAGGTCCCGTCTAATAACACTGGATCACATGACGGCACTCGCACATCAGCCGGCGCGAAACGACGAAACAATTAGGGGCTCCGCACAATAAAAGGAACAGGGAACAGAGAACAGAGAATAAGAATTTCAACCTATCAGAAATCATGTATTGTGGAATATACACTATGTATTCCACAATACATGATTTCTGATAGGTTGAAATTCTTATTCTCTAATGTTCTCAGATCCCTGTTTCTTTTATTGTGCGGAGCCCCTTATACACTTCGAATATACCTTCGAGCCTCTTCGGCTAGTCTCGCGTTTCTTCGGTCGCGCTCGATTTCGCCCCACCGATCGACGCGCTTTGGAATTTCAAAATGCCAGGATACTTTCGCGTTTTCGTTCATTTATTTGTCTTTTATGGCAGAAGGCGACTTTCCAATTGCAGTTTCACGATTACTTTCCTTAAGTCATCGTGAGACACATGCGAAAAGAAATGCTCTGAATGTATTTTCAGTTAAGTACTTTCTCTCCTTGTATTTTCCATTGGGAAAATTTGTGCACATTGACGCACAGTGAGTACAATTGAATGCAAATCAATTCCTCTATTTTCAGTGTTAATAAATAATTTAATCACCTCTCTAAATTTTTTAGAATCTTACTTTAAAGAGTGAAAATAGTAGTTTTGAAAAAGAGTCGCTCAATTTTCAATTTTTAAGAATGAAATTTTACTATTCAAAGTGACGTTAGAAAAAAATTTTTAATTACATATTTTTGTTGTCACTATATCACATAATCTTAAAAGGATTAAATTATTTTTTAATACTGAATTTTAAATAATGTGAACAGATTTGCACTTTATTGCATTAGTGTTGTAATTTTCCCAGTGGGAAATGTTATCCGTTTCATTTTTCGTCACGGCATCTCAGGATCCCAAAATGTCTCGATATATTTATATACCTGCTATTATTCACACTTTTCGATATCGTTCTATGATAAGTTTCTCGACGATAACTGTCACTTTCGTATAATAGTTCGCTGATTATCTTCGTTTCGCGTAGAAAAAAAAATATCGCGAGACGTTACGCGCACGTCAACTCGGCGCGAGAAACGTTGCGCTTCGAATGGACCTTCGGTTAATTTCGTTTGGCCTCGACCGCGTTCGGTATCACGCCACCGATCGTGTTTAAATGCGATTTCATGATATGTATAACTTATGCAGAAGAAATTTTTGCTGTTACAGCAGAAACATTATTGCTGTTGGTGCATGTCTTATATGAAAACCAAATTTTACTGTAATATTAATTATTCGATATAAAACAATACAATAAAATTCAATATTACCACAGCAAAGTTTGCTTTGTTCATAAAAGTTTTACTGAAAAGACATTATTTTACAAATGAACAATTAAATAAATTGAAAAAAATTTAATTTATATAGCGAATGTTAAAAGCACAAATTTCCTAAAATATCTAATCCCTCGAGAAAGAAAAAAGTTTTACATATTTTCATTTCCCTTTCTTCTTTCCTTGCACGAAAAAAAAATATTTTGCTGAATACTGCAGATCGATGTGAAAGGACTGAAAGTAAAAATAATTTTGTTGGACGACACAATAATTTTGTTGGAAATTTAAATTAATTGTTAAAATATCAAAATTGTTTACAGCATTTCTCGTTATTTTTTAATTTCTAACATAATTATTTTTTTAATCCAACAAAGTTATTTTCAAATCTGTTCCTAAAATCTTAAATCTTTTAGTAAAATCATTCTTTCCGTGTGTATATTTTTTCTGTTCTTTGCATGTAGAAATATGAATGTTTCACTAAAGAAAGGTAATAACTCATTTTGCTATTTTGAACACATTTTATGATGACTATCACTGCTTTGATGACGAAATAAAAATTAAATATTGCAACGAAGTAATTTGTAGATTAAAATTTTTGTATTTTTAGATTTTCGAAATCGAAATTAATTGTCGCCACCTATACCTCAAATTTGAAATAATTGACGAGACATATATGAAGCTTATGTATTGATATAAAAATAAAAAACATGTATCAATAAGTTTCAAATATTTTTAAACGTACTCTTGAGATTATAAAAAAATATTGATTTTTAAATATCAAAATATTGAAAGTGTTTCCTAATCTATTAAATTATAAATACTAATATTTCTCTCTCTTTCTCTGCTATAAATCTTTTCGTTTGTAGATACAGTTTCTGTTGACAATCTGCTACTTGGCGTGCAAATACCCTCATTTGACCAATATCATCAATGATGCGCCAGTTGTGCAGACAGCCAACAATCCTACCAAGAAAGATAACGAGAGAACGGAGATTCAAAGGGTGACGTACGTCCCGACTAGAAAGAGGATCAATTCCAACCCTTTGTTCGAGCCTTTGGATACACAAGCGATCACATTGATCAACCCAAACCTCTTTGACAAGGAACGCCGGAAATTGCCACGTTCGAATCATGTTTTCAAGACGACCGCGTCAGATCCAAGACATTTGTCCAGGAGATCGAACGAGTCTATGTCCTCGAGGGAGGAGAGCGTATCATCGAGTCCTCTGGCCCAAAAGTCCGTTTGCGATTCGCCCTTGTTGAACATGAACATCAGCGAACAATGGGAAGAAAAGGATGTAGGCGACTCTTCGGGGAATAAAATTGACGAACATTTGCAAAACTTGCGAGATTTGCGATTGGATACTAATTGCAATGCCTATGAGGACGCGGGTTACGTGGCGAGTGATAATCAGAGTTTAAAATCACCGAAGAAGATGCCTGAAAAGTCCAAATGTCTCCTATTGGACGCCTTGCTCAGCTACTTAAATAGCGCGGTAAAAAACGCTGCTTTTTTTCAAAAAAGAACGACTTCTAAGTATCTAAAAATTTAATTAGATATAGATTTTGAAAATAATTTCGTTGGAATATTAAAATAATTATGTAGGACACTTAAGATGGTTGCTAGAATGCCAAAAAATTATTATGATTGACAATATTTTAATAATCCAACAAAATTATTTTCAGATCTGTATCTAATTAAATTTTTAGGTATTTTAATAAAACCGTTTTGTGTGTGTGTTTTTATTAACAATTAATGACTAATCAGCTAATTGTATCTGTAACATGTTGTATGTAATAATCAATCATTCTATCCTCGATTCTAGGACAACACCGTGAGAATACGAGCATGCGAGGGAATAATGGCCTTAGCGTCCCTGAAGGATTCTTCGTTCGCGCAAACGGTGGCCAGGAGTGAACTACCATCAATAGTCTCCACTCGCCTGGAGAATTTGTTTAATGCCATTCCAGCACACGTAGATCACTTAGATATCTACAATGTAGATGTCACATGGGGCCTGGACTCACCGTTATGGACTCAGGAAAAGAAATTCCCCGGTTGCCGGCAAGTGGCGGCGTTCTTCATGTGGTACGACTATTGTGATCGGCTGATTAGAGAAGCTCAGATGGAGCTTGCCGAGATGTTGACGAGGACCATTCGAGTGATGTTTTTTGAGAGGATAGTGACGCCCGCTCTGGCCGATCATCATGTCGTACTTATCACAGCCCTTGTCGCCAAGTGCTGGAAGGTGACTACCTCCTCCATATTGTGCACAGGTATGTGTATGAGAACCTCTAAAACCATTTCACGAACGAAATGATCAAATATTTGGAAAATCTTTGTACAAGATTCAATATATCTAAGAGCAGTTTACAAATATATATACAGGGTGGACCATCTGAAGTGATCCAGTCAAATATCTCGAAAACTAGTAGGGATAGAGAAAAATGTTTCGTATGAAAAGTTTAGGGTTACACGGGGGAAGTATGGTACTGACCTTGAAAAATCCTTGGAAGGTCATTTTGAAGGTCATTCAGGGGTCACGATGGTTTTTTTAAATGGAACCCCTAGTTTTTCACCATGGGATGA